TTCTCTCCATTTTCTTTTTTATTTTTTCAGAGTGACATTTATGCTCCTGTTTGTAGGAATATTATCAGCAATCAGCACTGCCAGCCTCTCTCTTAAAAAACCCTAAAACTGTCCGAACAACCATAGCGGCGGCCTCACGCCCGCCAGATGAACATCGGCAAAATCCCCCCTCCTTTGTACAAATCCTTAAGGTTACAAAGCCAAACCCTCGATCTCTGATTCACCAAACTGGCAAACCATCCGTAGAAGCCTCTTTCATCGCCTCAAAACCGTCGCTCTTTAAAGGAGAAAAAGAGCCTGCATTCCTCTTATCAAAAGAGGAGGATGAAAAACTAGTGGCTCCTTTTCAACATTCTCTTATCGGAAAATTCTCAAAGGGGAGACCAAAGATGGACTTCTTATGGTACAATTTCTGTACAATTAGCTTCAAAGACAATTATTCGCTTGGTATGATAGATCATAGACATATCCACATTCATTTTGATTTGGAGGAAGATTTGCACCGTTGTTGGATTAAGGGGGCTATGGTCTTTTGATCAACATATTATGTGTGTTTGAAGTGGACACCACAATTCAATCCGGAGCATGAATCATCTATAGTGCCGATTTGGGTTGCGTTTGAAGGACTGCCAATTCACCGCTTCAACGAGGAATATCTCAGAATATTGGCAGGTATCATCGGAAATTATCTCAGAATATTGGCAGGTATCATCGGAAATCCACTCAAAATTGATGTCCCAACCTTAAATTTATCAAGGCCCTCTATTGCTCAAGTGTGTGTGGAAGTAGATTTGCTTCATGATCTCCCAAAGTGAATTCGTCTCGTAACGGAAGAACACTCTTATTTTCAGACTGTGACATATGAGAATCTGCCTTCTTACTGCATTGAGTGCAAGAAAGTCGACCACTCGGCAAAAGACTGCCGTCATGGAAAATCCAAGGCTTCAATGACCAAGAAACCAAAGATAATACTCATCAAGCAGAATAAGCAAGCCGCAGCAATGACTAACAGCTCTAATGTATGGAAATCAAAAGAAAAAATGTTAGAAGAGCCTGCTAAGCAAGATGACCCTGGGAGTAAACCATCTTCATCAGGATTAAATGAGAAGGATAAGGAGCGGATTACAATTGATGAGGAAGATAAAACTACGTCAACTCCTCTAGTGTCTTCAGCTGACTGGAAGATCTCCAAGCAGCAATTAAATACCATACTTGAAAATAATGAAACGGAGGAATGTAGCTGGGAAATGATGATGCAGGAAAAAATTCAAAAGCTCAGGACACTGAGTGTAAACAGATCGCAGTTTTCATTCCTCAGTTAAATCTGTCTTCTCGTTTCGGCTATTGGGAGGATCTGATCAAGTTCTACATCTTGAAGTGGAAAATCAGAAAACACCTAAAAAGGTTCTATTGTCTGCAGTGTATGCAAAGTCCAGAAGACCGGAAAGACAATTGCTATGGGCGAAACTACAAGCTTATTCTGATCAAATAATGGGCATGTCGTGGATGATTGGAGGCGATTATAATGTAATTCGCAACTTGGATGAGTATAAAGGAAACTCCCAGCCGGATCAAGGTTCTATTGATGATTTTAATTCTTGGATTAACGGCAGTAGACTACTTGAAATAACTCCCCTGGGCAATCTTTTCACTTGGACAGGAAATCGGCAAAACGGTAGCGGGCGAAGTTAAAATGGTTACGGGAGGGCGACGCAAACACCAAATACTTTCATGCTTCTCTGCTTGAAAAGAAATCCCAGCTTAGAATCCATAAGATAAGAGGTCAGGATGGTTCATGGCTTTTGGATCGAAAGGATATTGGGCAAGAGGCGGTGTCATTCTTTAAGAATTTGCTGACTGAGGAAACGACTGCAAATCATGAAGAAGCAAGTAGAAAGATTCTGGAAAATGTTCCCTCACTTTTAAATGTTGACGACAATGAAGGTTTGCTGCACAGTTTAACTCTAGAAGAGATCAAGGATGCGGTTTTTAGTCTTGACCCTACAAGTTCGCCTAGCATTGATGGTTTTGGGGGGGATTTTTATAGGCATTGTTGGGACATTATTCATCATGATCTGAAGGTAGCATGTATGGAATTTATGAAGGGAATTCCCATTCCGAGAGCAATAAGCAGTACGATTATCACTTTGATTCCGAAGAAGGCGATAGCAACTTCTTTTGCGGACTTTCGGCCGATCAGTTTGTGTAACTTCATCAACAAAATATTTACGAAGCTGCTCACAGAAAGGATGAAAAAAGTCCTTCCAAAATTGATCTCGGGTGAACAATCAGCTTTTCTTGAAGGTCGCGACATCGTGGATAATATTCTGGTCACTCAAGATCTAATTCAGTTCCTAGATCAAAAAGTCTGAGGAGGAAATCTCATTTTGAAAGTGGATATGATGAAGGCATTTGATCGCATGCCATGGAGTTTTCTTCAACAGATTTTATCGAAGTTTGGATTTGATCAAATTTTTGTCAAGTTGGTAATGCTCAATCTATCACAAAGCTGGTTTTCTATACTTATCAACGGAAGTCCGACTGGCTTTTTTCAAGCTTCTCGGGGAATCAAGCAAGGAAATCCTCTCTTGCCTTATCTCTTCATTTTGCTTTCAGAAGCCCTAACTTGCAACATAAACAAGCTGACAGAATGTGGAAGAATTGCACTATAAACAAGCTGACCATCTCATTTGTGTTTTGCGGATGATCTAATAATCTTTACGAAAGGCCTAAAGAGCTCCATGCAGCAGTTATGATATTCTTTCAAGATTATGAAGATGCAACTGGGAAAAACATGAATAAGCAGAAGAGTACTTATTTTGTCTTGGAGAAGAGTGGGGTTGAGCATAATTCATTGATTGAGGACACTCTACAAATGAAGAAAGGTAGCTTCCCTTTTATGTACTTGGGATGCAAGTTATTTAAAGGAAGGAAAAAAGTAGAGTATTTTCATCACTTGACAGAAGCGATTGATGCTAAGTTGTTGAGCTGGAAAAATCATTTTTTGTCGCAAGGAGGAAAGCTACTATTGATCAAGCATGTTTTATCAGCGATTCCGATACATACTATAGCAGCCATTGTGCCCCCTAAAACTGTCATTCAGTGCATTGAACGAAAATGCCAAAATTTTCTTGGCATTAGCGTGCTTGGCATCACCTAACCTATCCAATCTCGAAAAATGGGCTGGGGGTCTGTAACCTTAAAGATGTTGCTCAAGCCTTTTCTATGAAACTTTGGTGGAAGCCCAAAACTAAGCAAGGGATTTGGGCAAAGTTTGTAAGCTCATCTAAGGAAAAAACAAGCTGGGCGAATAAAAAAGGTCGATCATTTGGCGGCTATGCAGAGTAGGAAGGTGGTTTGTGACAGTTCGTCTTCCTTTTGGCATGATCAATGGATGGATTCAGGCAACCTTTGGAATGGTTTAGGAATTCCTCCAGCACCAGACCTAACAATAAAGGATTTTTATCTTTCGAAAGATTTTTTCTTGCTAGTTTTTGCAGGTCTTCTGGATAAATCAAAAATTGGAGCAGCTGCGGAGTTTAGAGCTACACTTTGTGGAAGAACCGGATAGAGTGATCTGGCAACCAACGCCAACAGGAGCCTTTTCAATTGCCTCAGCTTATGAGGCAGCTCGACATCACAGAGAAGCAATTCCTTCCCTTAATAATTTTTGGCATAAGCTAATTACTTCAAAAATCTCTTTTTTTGCATGGACACTTTTTAATCGCTTGTTTCCATTCCCTGAAATTTTGCAAAAAAATTGGATTGGTTTTAAGTCCCTTAAGATGTCCTTTTTGTCAGGATGATGTAGATAACATTGATCATGTTTTTTATACTTGTCAAAAAGTAGAGCCGGTTTGGCAATACTTTGCTTCACTTTTTGGAATTCTAATTCCTCATAATGCAGGTTGGTGGAATAGTTTAAAAACTTGGCAAGGGATGGGTTGTTTTACCTCAGCAAAAAAATCAATAATAATGGTCTTGGCACTATATTTGCTATATGAAATTTGGAAGACACGGAATAGAATCATCTACGATGGTATGCATTTTCAAATATGTTGAGTGTTCATGGTCTAAGGGCTAAGAATCTTGAGGTAAAAAAAGAGCTAGAGGACCTCTTTAGAGTGAAGGTAAAAAGACCAAAAATCAAGAAGATATCAATGATGTGCTGGAAACCTTCGGATCCTGGGGAAATAATATTAAACACAAACGGGCCTGCTTTGGGACAACTGGGAGAAGCGGGATGGGGAAACATCATGAGAGGAGAAAAAGACACCTTCATTTTTGTAGAAAGCGGCTATATGGGCCATGCTACGAGTTTGGAAGCAAAAATAGCAGGTATCTACGATGGACTCAGAGTATGTGAGAAAAGAAATTTGCACAATGTTATTGTCCAAACGGATAATAAAAGAATTGTTGCCTTGCTATAGCGAGATACTAACTTTCCTTGGAAGCATTATCAGATTTTGAGGAAAATACAGCAAATGTTGAGGATTCGGAACTATAAAATTATTCATGTCTTTCGAGAGGTGAATAGTGTGACAGATGAGTTTGCTAAAGAATCCTCTAAGGGGTGCTCCTTGCAATATTCTTCCTATGGGACTTTATCGACATCATTAAGAGGTAAGATCTATCTAGATCAAAACTTTTTTTCCTATCTAAGGGTTAGATAAAGTGATTGAGATATAGAATAGGTAAGTAGAGATGTCAGGTTGTAAGACATCCTCTTAGTTTACTTAGTTATATCAAAAGAGAATCTAGATGGAGTTTTTAGGGGATTAATGTTTAATTTTTGTAAGATATACTCTTAGGTTATAGAGTTTAGATAACTGTACTGTTATGGGATATTAGCATATCTTTGTAATACAGTTCATAGTGGTAAAAGCATCAAGAACCATCATCAATTTTTTGTAAAACTTTGTAAGACGGTCTCTTTCTGTTTGGGTAAGTATTAAGCACTGCCCTGTATAATTTTTTCCTTTTGATTAATAAAATCGGTGGGTAAGTATTAAGCACTGCCCTGTATAATTTTTTCCTTTTGATTAATAAAATCGGTGAATGCTCGCCAAGTACCGTCCTAGTTCACCTAAAAAAAAAATTATCAGCAATCAGCTGGTGCGTACATTTCCAGCCAGATACTTATAATACGACTATTCAAACAAACGGAAAGAGTATCTTTCTTATCCCCATTTACTTTTCTACATGGACGCTTAGAATACCTCTCTTGCAGTTTACAAGTTTGGACTTTCGAGACGATATAAACAGAGGGCTAAAATGTCCAGAGATTACAAGAACCATAAAATTCCACTCGGATAATGAATCTTCATTGTCCAAAAAATTATTACACAAGTACATGTTGCACCCTGATCTTTATTCTTTAAGTGCAGACCAATCCTATGTAATATGCTAATTTTGATCCTGAATTTATACTCTTGTCACATTTCCGGTTGAATGATGCATTGAAGAATCTCTCTTGTACGTCGTTAGATCTAGTAATCAGAGCGAGCGTCTTGAAAGGAAATGTGAGTAGAAAGAATGGCAGGAACAAGTTGTGTGACTGATGCCAAAGTCAAAGTCGTCAGAATTTCTCCATGATGATCTCCCGCATGAAATCTTCAGGTGCTGCAAGAATGGAGGTGACAGAGGAAGAATTACAACGCAAAAAGTCAACAGAGTTAATCGAGAAAATATCTACACACAGTGATTCAATGAGGAACGAGAAGAAAAGAGGTAAGTCTCATGCATCTATGGAAGCTAAAACTGCTAAAGATGGTCCGTTGAAAATAAGAATCGAAGCCGACTAAAATATATGCCTTGGAAGGCCATGTAACGTCAACAAAATAATCTCATCAAAAACATTAATATCTTGTTTGAACAACCTAAGAGACTCAACATTCAAGAGTTAATACTTACTCGCTAAGAAAATAATTCATGAACAGCCAGAAAGCTACATGAACAATAATAAACTCAGGGAAGAAGTGCTTCATCTACTTACCTTGGCCTCCAGTGAAAAGATTGCACTGGCCAATGGCTTGTCGCAAGAACATTTCAACTCCACTGACAATTATGGCTCCAGCAGCCTCAGCATCTTTCAGTAGCGTAGTTTTACGAGGGTTATACACAGCATCAAAGACAACCTTGTACAACTTCAAACTAGTCTACACAGGAAACAAAAGCATCAGCTATCAGCTATCAGCCATCATATGTATATATGTTAAAAATATAAAAGAGGAGTGAACTGTAATACTTCGGCAACGGGGATTCTTTGAGTGTTTGGATGCATTCCTAAAGGTGTTGCATTTGCAAGGATGGCACCATGCTCAGGTTGAAAACTAACTAGATCTCCAAATGGAAGTGCTTCACCAGACACCGCATTAGCAAGTGATTTCGCTCGATCTGCAAAAGCAAAATCACAAAATTAGTCAAGGTTAAAGAATATTATTAGTCAGATCTAATAAACAATCACCATTCTTAAACAGGTAGATGATATTCGAAATCTGGTACAAAGCACGACACCGATAACAAATCAAACAAGATGAAATTTGAGGAACAATATCTTACCATAGTCGATGTCAAAAATAACAACCCTTGCTCCCCTGCTTTTAGCGCCAAAAGCTAGTGCTCTTCCTGCACCACCAGCACCCACCAGCACAAATAATTTCCCATTGAGTGGTGAAGGGAGTCCATCCTCATTCCTACATCCCCCTAGAGTGAAGATGTAAATGTTAGCGTTGTATTTACAACAGTGTAGGGATCACAGACCATGTTGTACTAAGCAATTGTTATTCAATGGAATTTTGGATGAATAAATGATATTGAAATTAGATGGATTCAAAAGGAATGGTTGGACAAGTTATAGAAATCGTCATACTTGTAAGAGCATCCTCAATTGCAGTTATGGATGCTTCACAGTCTGTGTTATAACCAATCAACCTGCCATCCTTGGGGCTCTTTATGATTGTATTAACAGCACCTATGGACTGATAAACAAAAGAGTGCCTTAATGATGTCAGACAAGGGAAGTGAGAAAAGAATATAAAACTTCCAAACACATTCTGAAAGACTAAAAAGTTCAAGATGATAAATGTGTCCTGTTGCCTTTTCGATTACATAATGATGGAACCCTTATGGTTACAAAAAAAAAAAAAAAACCCTTTTAAATTCATGTATGTAATATCATTTTAAACTTTAACTCTTCTGTCTTTACCATACAATGAAAGGCTACTCAATCAATTAACTATGGTTTCCATGCATTCTAGAAGCAACAAAAGATAACAACTGCTAAGGGTTTATTGTCCAACCTGAGCAAGTGGATGGACTTCATCACAAAACTCCAGCACCGTCTCTTTATATGGGATCCCAACACTACATGAAAGTGAAAACTGGTAGTGTCAACTTGTAGTTTTATTTACTGGATATCCTGAGGAAACTCAGATTCTAATCATCAAGAGATGCTAGACGTTCTCCTTATACTTCATTAGTGCATACCTGAACCCGGCAAAATCAGGGCTTGAGTACACGTTGAAGAACTCCTTAAGATCATCGACAAGCATTGGGATGTATATAGCATTGTAGCCAACATGCCTAAATGTTGGATTGTGCAATAGGGGGCCTTTACTATGACTCACTGGCTTTGAAACGAGTCCAAACACTTTAGTGTCTGCATCTATGCACTCAACTTGATATGCTTGTCTAAGGCTACTTAAAGTGGGTAGACCTGGGACAGAGTGTCCTTCAATAGATCCGTAAACCATAAAGCCTCCAAATTTTGGAGCAAGAACGTGGCCAATGAAACCTCTTTCGCCGGTAATGTATGCAATGAGTGGAACCTTGCAAAAGTCAGAAAGCAGGAGCTACATCAATAATTACGAAACAACAATACAACCATATTAAATGTCAGATTTCTATGGCAGTCAAAACTCTGAGTATTATGGTTGCTTCAGGGCACAGACACAATCGATGTAACATCCCAATCTGAACAAAACCACTGCTTAATATGAATTTTCACTTGCAACTTTGGATTTTAAATGAAACTAAAGCTTTGGAGCAACTTGCTAAAGTTATATCCTTTTGTAAGAAAACCTACCTGAGAGTGTGAGAGCAGTTGGAAAACTTTAGCAGTCTCAGTAATATTAGTTGCATTTACAACCAGCTTAAGGATATCTGCCCCAGTTGATTGCATGTCTGCAATGAGATGGCCGATGTCTTCTTTCGGTGAAGCTATGTTGTCAACGTTGCATGATACAATCAGCTTACTTTTGTTACATTGATGGAATTTATCTCGTTCCCTGAGGGCAGAGGCAGCCTGCATTGAAGAGAAAGTCCAACCCACGTATTAGCCATAAGTATGACTAACGCCTTCATAGCAACAGAATCTACATTCATTGTAAAAGTAAAAGTGCTTATCTGACCATCATGGTAATTTACATAGTGATTGATGTGACATATACTCATCAATGACAATGTATAAATTTCAAGATCATTTCAGAGCTCTTGAAAATGGCTAGAATGGGGTCATCTGTCATAGATGATCTGTCATACATAATAGCAGCAAAATCAAACTAGGACATGGTTCTCATAGATTGCTGATATTGTCGATTTTCTGCTTGTTTGTTGTACAAATTCAAATCCATTTTCAAAATATTGTCATAGGTTTACATTATCTTAATATTGGTTATGACTTTCTGAATACCCAAGATCGAACTTGGAAATGGAAAGGGTCAAACAACTCTTGAAGCAAGTGATAAAAAAATACTGAAAGACACTATGCTTGGGGGTGTATGATCACCTGAAGTTCAAACTCAACATAATCACTTCCCAATTCTGAGGCTAGTTGAAGAACTTGGAGCCGAACTTCGCCATCAGAATTATGTACACCTTCTTCTGATGCTGCCCTGCAATTACAAACACAAACTTGGTTCTGAGTCCCCCTGGAACTCAGCATCACATTTACAAGTACAACTAACTAAAGCAACACCACTTCAAAAAAAAAAAAAAACTAAAGCAACATTGATAGGACGGTAAAACAGATAATCAATTACGTGACCTAAATAAAAAGACAAAACAGAAATATCTTTGTGCTCTAACAATAGACATTGATCGCTATCACTACTCTCATAAATGATTTTATCAAAAAAAACTCTCATAAATGAATGAATTGTTCAGTTTTTTTTTTTTTTTTCATTTCCACCAAAATGGTATCACCACTCTCATTATTTTTTTTTTGTGGCAATTAATTCGCATTTATTCTTTCTCTCACTTGTTATGTACTTTCTTTGTTTCAGAAAAATAGAACATAATCATTTTATATTAGGTCGTCAGTCATTTGTTTAGGAGGGAGTAAGTAAAAGTGTCAAGTTCATTACAAATAAAATCTACATGGTATAAAATACAATTAATGCCAAATACGGAGGCATTTTGGTGAAAATGGAATGAAAAAAAATCAATTTTCATCTCAAGAAAAACAAAAAAAAAAAAAAAGAAGAAAATCAATACACATACAGGGATTCCAAAATTCTTATCCTTTTTCGAGCAAATCAATCCTATTCCACACCAACTTCTTAATTCCAGGATATTTCATCAGCAAAACTGCAATCAGTCATCATCATCCACCCCCACCAACCACCCAACTCAGCGGTTGGGAAAAAAAATAAAATAAAATCAATTTAAAAATAACAAAAACCTCAAAAGTTGCTCATTTATCATCACCGGAAACAGCTGGCAATACAGGGCTGCCACGTCGGCATGACATGTCAGAAAGTCCCGACATGGGACCCACGCAAGGTAGGTGAATGCAGCGCAACAACACTGAAAACAACTTTTTTTTTCCCTCTTTTTGTTTGCAAACGTTTTAACAATCAACAATCAAGAAGAGTGTGATATTGATACGACACTTTCCAAATTTCAACCCACCCACTTCACCGTAACTATCCAAATAATGGAAAAAAAAAAAAAAAAAATTCCGAACTTTTAACAAAACTAGTGACTTTTCCATAAACAGATAAAGGATCCAAATTGTACCCAGAAAAAGAAATTGCCAATCTTTATGGGCAAAAAGAACAGTTTGCAGTTTCAAATTGAACCCAGAAATGGTATCAAACAAAAGATTAGAATTTTAGAACTGAAAAAATTGTACCTGAACGAAGTGATAACTGGCAATGTTTTATTTCTCAATAGGATTTGAAGGTCCCTTTGAGGCTGGAAATTCTTGATACAATCCAGCCTAATCTCAACTACATCTGCGCCTTCTGCCTTAGCCCTGTTCATATCCTTCAACATTTGCTCCACTGATTCCGCCATTAATGGCGCACAAACAAGTACTGAATCTTTCAACAATCCCACACTACCCATTTCTCAAAAATCTCAAAATCAATGAATGAAATCAAAAGAAAGATAAAAAGGGAAGTATACGTATATATCTCAATTGGGTTATTCGGAAACTGTCATTAGAAACCGAATCCCACAAAATGTCTGTATATATCTGAGGAAGAAGAAGTATGCATTCAGGAAAGGGAAAAATGGGTATGGATATATATGGACTTGATAGTTGGATAAAAGTATAAGAACCCACTTGAAATTGAATAATGATTTTTTGAGTAAACAATGAATAAATATCGAATCAATGGAAAGAATTAAAAAAAAAAATCGATAGTGAATGAATTTGAATGGAAGAGAATTAGAGGCAGTGCAGATAATGAAGAGAAGAAGAGAAAAAAAAAATGGTGGGAGTGGAGGGATTGACATTTATGCGATTCCATTTCCAAACAGAGAAAAATGAAAAAAATTTGACCAAACCAAACTCTTCTCAACCAACCCACTGATGAGGACAGATGCCAAAGCAAACTCCATTTTATATTTTTCCCCCTTTGAATTTTGAGCGTTGGACTGAAGCAAAAGTTAACAATGTTATTTTTGCGGAGTTGGTGGGGATGGATAAAAGTTACAGAACCAACTTGGCGGCTGTGTGATGATTGTATGATGATTCCCTAACCCTTTCATTGCTTCTTTAGGCTAACTTTTAAAGAAAATTACTAGTGCTTGGCTCTTAGGATGTATACTTTAATCATCCATTCGTGTATAATCACCGTACTATTTTTTTGGACGGAAAAAGTATATTGTATTGTTACTATTTTCCTTTATAAATACTTAGGAAACTACTATATAATTAGTGAAAATATACAATCAATAGAGATAATAATTAATGCAACAAGTGTATAGATTTATATTTCTCCCTTGTTATGTTAATAGTTATAGAAAATTTAATACGATATTTTGTTTTTTTACTAGTCACAGATTCATTTTGTTATGGCTTTTTATTGGTAATGTGCCAACAAATTTTTCTCTTTGATTGAATGGTAGTTGAAGAAAATGACAAATGAAATGACCAAAATTTTGAGCGAATTGCTGAAGTTAGATGGTTAAGGTCCTTAAGGATAATGTTAGTAGCGTACAAACGTTGTTTAGAAGAGAATTTACTAAGTTTGCTGACTTTTACCCAAATAAGCAGGTGATGGCACTATCTAAAATGACTGTTCTACATATTGGTTTCACTTTAGCTTTTTGTTTTTTTTTTTTGGACTAATACTTCCGTTGCGTAAATGTAATATTCTCTCCGCATTGATTGATGTTAATGAGCTAGAACATTGTCCACCATAGGTTGAGAAACAATAGTTTTTGCTGATATACTTTACTTAGTCCAAAAATAATTCATTTATTTTTCTAATCTTTAAAACAACTAACTTCCGCACAGCGCAATGCACATTATAGTTGACGTCTTGCTCATTGTGAATTATTGTACGAATATATAATAAAAATAGCAATAGGATAAAGTTAACCTAATAATTGTAACATCGAAATAAATAATTCACTATATCTATACCGTAAATACCAATTTAATACATTACTAGTACTTGTTTCGTGCATTACACAAGTGTTTCATTTATGACATATACTCTTTGTGAATTTTAATTTTTATACAATTAGTTAAGAGAAAGATTGTAATTGTTTTTATAATAATAATACGGAACTTTCTCTCTCCTCCTCACAAGTGCTCTTGGTGCACGTTAGCGCCTTGCTAACCTGCCGCATGCATGGCAAAAACTGTGAGAAAAAGCTAGAAGAAAGTTACAGAAGTAGAAAAAAAAAAAAGGAGAAGGCGGCTTTACGGGATGAGGATAGCGTGTTGTCATGTATGAATTCATCACTGACAGAGGCAGATCTAGAGGTGATAGTACAAGAACAAAGCCCTAGATAAGGGAAAGACAAATTGATGATGAAGAATAGATCAAAGCAAAGAGTTTTGTAGGCGGATGCTACGGAGGTGGCGCCGGCGGCTACATGTAAGAAATTTGATATTGGGAGGATGAGAGGTAATGCTTCGAATATGGAATTCATTCCTCCACAGGAAATTGAGGGAAGGAGAATCTGTAAGATTTAAGCTAATAAGGTTGAAATTGAGGCTCAGTACCGGGAACCATTGATTGTGTTCTTCATCCTGAATCTCCCGTATGCAGTCATGAATAAACACATAAGGAATCTCAAGGGTCATCTTGGAGTGGATAAGGTAATTCTTCTGCCTTTGAGTTTATTTGTGGTGCATTTTATATCCCTAAATGCTCGCGATGTTGTGTTGAATTCTAATTTGTATCATTTGGGTGGTAAGCCACTTGTAATCAAACCGTGGTTTGTTGAAAAAGGATTAGCTATAGGGAAATAAGTAGGATTCCTGTGTGAGTCGAATTGAGAGGGTTAGAGTTTAAATACTGGTATACTATTACACTGAGTAGAATGGCTAGCAGATTGGGAGTTTCAATTAACATAGACGAGGCAACTGCTAGCAGAGAAAGAGTTCAATATGCAAGCATTATGGTGGAAATGGAGATACAGAATTAGGTTCCAGAGTTAATTTGTTTTGAAGATGAGAATGGGAACATACAGGAATAGAGGGTGTTTACATGTGGAAGCCGATCCAGTGCCAGTGTTGTAGGGGCTATGGACATTCATCAGAGCAACATAGGAATGTCCTATAAAAAGTTGAGACTAGTGGAGGAGGGGAATAAAAGTACTAGGGAGTTATACAGAAAGAAGGACCTATGATACGGGATGCTGGAAAGAAAATTAGTCAAAACAGACAGAGGGACTGCGACTTTCAAGAGGTGGCAACAAAAGATGCTATTCTACCTGACAACGCTGAACATGGCGAGCTTTCTGACGGGTGTTGCTCCTCCGTTGCCTGAAGGTACTTCGGACGCACCAGCGGTCCATGCATATGAGGCTTGGAAACGGTCAGATTTCCTTTGTCATGGTTATATTTTGAATGTTATTCATGATTTATTATATAATGTGTATGAGAAATTTAAGACGACTAAGGATTTATAGGAATTCATGGACCGGAAACATAAATCAGAGGATGCCGGCTCGAAGAAATTCTTAGTCGGACAGTTCCTTGATTATGTGATGGTAGATTCCAAGACTATTGATAGTCAAGTGCAAGAGATTCAGTTGATTCTGCACGACATTCAGACTGAGAGGATGATCTTGAGTGAAACCTTCCAAGTGGCTGCGGTCATTGAAAAGTTGCCTCCGGGTTGGAGGGATTTCAAGAACTACCTCAAGCACAAGCACAAGTAGATGAACTTGGAGGATCTGATTGTTAGACTTCGCATTGAAGAAGATAACAAGAAATCATAATCAAAGGCATCCAATGGTGTGTAGGCTAAGGTCAATATTGTGGAGCATAGTAAAGGCCAAGGCTCGAAGAACAAGCCCAAGAGCAAGAACGCCAACAAAGGCAAGGGGAAGCTAGGGACTACTGGTAGTGTCTCTAAGCAGAAGCACAGATTTAAAGGTGATTGTTTTAACTGTGGCAAACCCAGTCACAAGTTTGCTGATTGCCACTCTCCAAAGAAGGATCATGAGGCGAACATGGTTAACGACATCACTAAGGATGTGGAGGACATGCACCTAGTTGCTGTGGTGACTCAAGTGAACATGGTGGAGTCCAACTCAAAGGAATGGTGGATGGACACTAGCGCGTCCAGGCACGTGTGCATCCATAGGAGCCACTTCACCACCTTTGAACCAGTCCATGGAGAGAAGATCTACATGAGAAATGCTGTTGTTGCCATTGTTGAAGGCAGAGGAACTGTGAAGCTCAAGATGACTTCGGGCAAGACTCTGACACTCACACATGTGCTGTATGTGCCAGAAGTGTGCAAGAATCTTGTGTCAGGATTCATGCTACAAGAATGGGTTTCGCATTGTAATAGAGTCTAATAAGGTTGTTCTGTCTAAGGCAGGAATGTTTGTTGGGAAGGGGTATGCAACCGATGGGTTGTTCAAACTCAATGTAATGACTATTGTCGATGAAATAAATGCAAGTACCTCTTCTGCTTATTTGATTGAGTCTTCCAATATATGGCATGGTAGACTAGGTCATGTTAATTCTGATTCGATGCGTCGATTAATTAACTTGAACCGTATACCAACATTCCAAATTGAGTTCGGAAATAAATATGAAATTTGCGTCGAAGCAAAGTTAACGAGGTCATCTTTTCAAACGGTTGAAAGGAGTACTAAACCACTTGAATTAGTTCACAGTGATGTTTGTGATTTGAAATCGGTTCAAACACGAGGTGGTAATAAGTATTTTATCACGTTTATTGATGATAGCACGAAATATTACTATGTTTATTTGTCAAAAAGTAAAGACGAAGCATTAGAGAAATTCGTTCTCTACAAAACTGAAGTTGAGAATCAACTTGGTAAAAAGATCAAGAGATTGAGAAGTGATAGAGGTGGTGAGTATGAAGCACCGATTGGTGGCTTTTGTGCACAACATGGAATTGTTCATGAATTGACAACACCTTATTCACCTCAATCTAATGGGGTTACTGAACGGAAAAATCGCACATTAAAAGAAATGATGAATGCGATGTTGTTAAGTTCAGGCCTACCTCCCAATATGTGGGGAGAAGCCGTCTTGTCTAATAATTACCTATTAAATAGGGTTCCCCAAAAGAAAGAAGACCAGACTCCATATGAATTATGGAAAGGAAAGAGACCATCATACAAACACTTGCGAGTGTGGGGGTGTCTGGCAAAGGTAGTTGTACCTCCGCCAAAGACAATAAAAATTGGACCTAAAACGGTCGATTGTATTTTAATTGGCTATGCACAGAATAGTAATGCATATCGATTCTTAGTGCATGATTCAAAGATTTCATATATACACAAGAACACGGTCTTGGAATCAAGAAATGCATCTTTCTTTGAAAATGTGTTTCCTTACAAGACTAAGGATGAAGACAGTTCATCAAAACGAACTCATGAAGAAGTTCATGATTTGGTTGAGGTTCAAGATGTTGAACCAAGACGGAGCAAAAGGGCAAGAGTAGAGAAATCATTCGGTGATAATTTTGTAACCTATTTGCTAGAGAGAGAACCTCTAACTTACGCTGAGGCATTAAGTTCTTCTAAGGGACCTTTATGGGCAGAAGCCATAAAGAGTGAGCTTGATTCAATTTTACAAAATCATACTTGGGAGCTTGTTGATCTCCCACCTGGACAGAAACCGTTAGGATCTAAATGGATCTTTAAGAGGAAAATGAAACCTGATGGTTCCATTTCTAAATACAAGGCCAGGCTTGTAATCAAAGGGTATAAACAATGAGAAGGTTTAGACTATTTTGATACACATTCTCCTGTGACGAGAATAAATTCCATAACGATAATACTTGCTATCGCAGCCTTAAGGAATTTGGAAATACATCAAATGGATGTTAAAACAGCTTTCTTAAATGGAGATTTAGATGAAGAAATCTATATGGAACAACCCAAGGGTTTCCGAGCTCCAGGAATAGAAAAGAAAGTTTGTAAACTAGTAAAATCACTGTATGGTCTAAAACAAGCACCTAAAAAGTGGCATGAAAAATTTGACCATGCAATGATTACTAGGGGATTCAAAATTAATGAGTGTGACAAATGCGTTTATGTTAAGGAGATAG